GGCAGCCTTGGTTCACGCTGAGCCCGGTGGGCATAGGAGCCCCATGACAGCAGCTGGGAGGCAGCCCAGCGTATCCTGGCACGCTCTGCCCGTGTGCTGCTCTCCGCAGACCTCGCTCAGACACGAAGACGGAGTGGAAGAGCTGCCGCCGGGGGCGCGCAAGGAGCGGCGGAAAACAGACGAGAACCGGCGGGGCCGGCGCTCCCTGGGTGGCAACGTAGATGCCGGAGCCGGTGCAGGCTCCCCAAGCCCAGCCGTGGAGGACAACAAGCTGCCTGAGCCCTCCAGCCCCGCGAGGGAACCCACTGCCGAGACGGGGACGGAGAGCAGCCCAGCTCCGTGAGTACTGGGCGTTCGGCAGGGACAGGCAGGCTGGCCAGTAGCTGTGTGCGGTGTGCAGGAACAGAGCTGGGTTCTGGGGGTTTGGGGCAGGACTGTTCAAAGGGTTTGGGTGGTACTGCAGAGGCTGGGGCAGACCTGAGGCCGTGGGCTGGGCATGCCCAGCCAGGGATCTGCATGTGGCGAGCTGTGATCTGCTCCATCTCCAACTCCTCAGGGCTGGCTTAGCCACGCTGGACCTGCAGGGCTCCTGTCCGGGCGCTTGGCCCGGGTGGGCACCCTGAATGAAGTGTCTGCGGCCAGGCCCCGAAGTCTCCGTGTGCGCCCCCTGCAGGTGAATGATGGGGTGCTGTGTGTGATCCATTGAAACGTCACAGCAAGGGCCCCTCCCGGTGCATGCCAGGCCCTGCTGGCCGCACGGCTGCAAAGAGGGGCTGGCTCGTGGGGCGTAGGCTGAGTCTGCGCTGCTGCCGTTTCAGGCCCTGCTTCGAGAGTGTTTACAACAGCACGTCCAACGTGCGGCTCTCTGCGCCGGCCTCCCCGGAGGAGAGGGAGCACCCCGGCCTGGGGGAGAGGAGCGTTTTCAAGTGAGTTGCCTCAACTTGGCGGGAACTGAGGAGTGTGTGCTGGCCCTGCTGGGGCAAGGCGCGAGACAGGCCTGGGGGAGGCTCTGGGCAGGACACTGAGGGAGCGTGAGTCTGAGGGGGGGCACTGCGAGGTCAGAGGGACTGTGAGGCAGAGACACCCCTGCCCCCCCCACGTCCCTGTCCCATCCCCTCTCAGCAGAGATACCCCAGAGTGTGTCTACGCAGCAGAATAAATAAATAAATAAACCACCTGAGAGCCCAGGTCAAGTAACTCAGGCTGGCGCTGTGGGGCTGAAAACAGCAGTGTGGATGTTCCTGCGCGGGCTCTGAGACCCTCCCCCCCTCAGACTTGGCGCCAGGGGTTTCCTTTGCAGTGTAGATGTCCCCACACTGACCTGAGCTGGGGCCTGTCCATGGTCTCAGGCGCTCTGGGTGTGTTCCGGCAGTGGGTCGGTGGCGCTGTGTAGCCCCAGGGCCCTTCCTGTGGGGGATCGGGGGGAGCCCATCGACAGCCCATCCTCCTGGGGATGCCTGGGCCCCTGGCCTGCGCAAGAAGGACTGCGTGCGACAGGGAAGGCCGGTTGTGGATCCGGAATGGTTCCTAGAGCTCGGGAGCCAGCCCCCCCTGTGGAGGAGCAGGGCTCCTTGGGAGCTCCAGGTGGTGATGGGAAGGGAGCTGTGTGGAGGGAAGCTGTCCAGGTGTGCAGGAGGGGTGTGTAGCGGATGGGCCAGCAGGAGGGGGCAGCACTGCGTGAGAGGGACCCAGTCTACACTGTCCACACTCGCGGGGCGCTCTGGAGTCAGCATGCTGACGTACCCCGTGGAGACAGCACACTGCGGGGGCGGGGTTCCCAGCTGTTGCCTCTGGGCCCTGCTCAGCTGGGTGGAGGCGTCTAGTGGGTGATCAGTACCCTCCCAAAGGGGGAAAAGGGGAAGGCCCTCCAGCATCCAGCCAGCGTGCTCCCCCCCGCAGAGTGGGGTCTCTGCGAATACCGGGATCCCAGCCAGCGCCATGGGAATGGCCTGTCCGCCTGCCCACTCCTCTGCTGGCGGTGCCCCCTCGGGCTCAGCTCAGGCAGGCTGTCCCCAAGTGGATGGGTGGCATCTCTAGCTCCAGCTCTCACACTCTCTGCTCCTTCTCTCGGCACTGATTCTCCTCTGCCTCAACTTTCTTTCCTTTTTCAGACTTCACCAAACTGCCCCTGTTTGGTAAGTGACACGGAGGCTGCGTGCGTGTGCATGTGACCCTTCCCGGCATGCTCCTCCCGCGTGCTGTGGCTAGTTTCCTCTCCCTGCCTGCGGCTGGTCTGTCTAGGCCGCCTCTCCCTGCGCTCCATTAGGCTGGAGCATGGGCGCTGCACTGGGGTTTGCTTGCATGAGGCTGCATCTGCTGCTTCCAGGCCTGGGTCTCCTCTGAGTGCTGGCCACACGAGTCTGTCCCCATTACGTGCTTTGCGTTGCCGGGCAGCACTTCCTGAAACTCCTTCGCTGGGCTGGGAGCTACGTTCCACTCAGCAATCGAGGTCCCATCTTTCCTGATCACTGACCACTGAGCCAGCCACACGAGGCTTTCTCCTAGGCTGGGGCCAGAGACCTCCTCTTGGTGCTGAGCTTGTCCAGCCACCTCCACAACGACGTAGGAAACCCCCCTGCTTGTCTCTGCAGCACTTCCCCCCCTCCGTCCCCCCATCCCCTCTCTGTAATCTTGAGGGCCAGCAGAGCACCATGCAGCCTGCCCCACTGCCCCTCGCCAGCATGTTGGTTCTTAGTCAGCCATAACCCCAGACATGGTGCGCAGAGCACGCAGCGAGCGACCGGCTAGCCCACTGCTGGGGCGTGTGGAGCGGCCTGGTGCAGGCCCATGTCTGAGTGAGGCCTGAGCCGCTGCACTCTGACTGCTGGGCTGGCGGTGCCATCCTCGGGGTTGGGGTCTCTGTGTGAGTCCCTCGTGCTGTTCATTTGGGCTGGCCCCTTGTTCTGTGCCTGGATGGAGGGGAGCGGGGAGCTGCCTGGTTATGGCCGGGTCCCCTTGGGGGTTCCAGCATCAGGTTCAGCAGCTGGGCCTGCCCCGGGGCGTCACTAGAACCCGCGTTCCGGAGGCTGCTGTGCGTGGCTGGAGGACGGCTGTGTTAACTGACAGCTCGTGTGCTGTGGGCGCTGAACTGGGTGTGAAAATGGCTGCCCTCCAGAATGGCTGCCGGGACGCCCTCTGGAGGCATGGTGGGTATGGGAAGGGTGGCAGCCCCCCACCCCTCCACGAGCCCTTGCAAAGGACTGGCCAGTGTGTGGAACCCCATTCCTTGCCCCAGGGACCTTCGCCACGGCTGCTCCTGTAACGGTCGTGGGGGAGGGAGCACCTCTGCTGAGGGAGGGGACGACCAGACTGATGGTGGCAGCCTGTCGAGTGACCAGCGTGCGCTATGCCCAGGGGGCTGTCGGCTGGCCTGGGGGGCAGGCGTCAGC